AACAACAACAATAGCATGTTTTATTTTATTTATAGATAAAAACAATAAATATATACAATAATTGAGTAAAAAGGTACATTTTTATGGTATTAATATGAAATTATCAACTTTGAAACATTTGAATTAATTTGTTATTCGTGTTTGGTAAAGATGCTTAGGAATAATTCTAAGTTACAAATTAGATTTTATGAATTATTCATTTGATTGATAGTTTTAAAATGATAAGGAAAAATACAAATGTACATGATTTGAGAATAAACAATATAATATATTGAAAGATTAACCATAATTTACTGACTTTTCTAGTTAATTTTTGACCTATAATCGTCGGTCAATGTGACAATTGAATTCTTAAAATTCATTTTACAATTTTAATAAAAATAACTAGAAAACGTAAAAACTCAGTATTAAAATAGCACATAAAAAAAGAAAGAAAACAATATTCGTAAAATATTGAAAAAAAAAAAAATTAATTTAAAATAGACAATTATGCTCAACATGATCAACATGGTTATATATCCAGTGTCATATTTTACTAAGTGTGAACAGATACTTTAAGGTCCTCGCTAATAGCGATAACATAATAAGGGACAATACACAAGTGTGGTGTTGATCATGCATTACACAAATGTATTATAAATGATTGTATATATCCGTTGCTGTTAGTAATCACGATATTACATTTATGATCATAACAATTATAACATAATATTATATATGTACTTTATTATTTCCAAAATGTAAAAGATCTATTAATTTTTATAAGTTTGTATGTTCCAAAGAAAATACCACATCAACACGAAATGCTATCAAATCACAAATATTAATGATAATATCCAAAAATACCCACTATATAGTATAAATAAACTTATACCATATGGAGAGAATATTTTGAATATCATTGACCCGTATATTTTAGATATTATCGTTAATATTGATAAAATTTCAAGTTACTGTTGAGAAAAAAAGTAATATTCTATCTCTAGCATGCCCACCAAAGTTCATTATGAACAATGTTTTTCGTCCGCTCATGCATAAGTGATAAACAATTCTGGTAAAAACCAATTAACCATTGAAAAGCTTATAAGAATATCTTGTCATCATATGTCTACTAGTTCATCTTCACTTTCTGCATTTCTTGCTTGGACGCCCTTTGATGCTTTGCATCAATGCTTTTATTGTAATATTATAAATAAAGCAATTGAATCATTTTTACAAATCCGTAAGTGCAAAAAACCTGCATTTTTGCAAAGTAAATCGTCTTAACTGAAGAATTTTAGTGTGTTTTTGAAGAAAACAACATTTATTTTAGCCATGATTGAAAAAATACTGTGTTTCAATGTGAACACCATTTCGATAATTGTTTGCTGACGAACCTTTTGTGAACATATAAAGGTCGCCAAAATCAATAACCGTACACACGAAAGATGACTTAATTCAATTTGATAGCTATCATTTGTATAAAAAATTTCGAAGTGTCATTTGCAAGTATATAAATTCCAAAGAGATATAAAATATGCAAATCAGGAGACACCAGCCTTTTAAATCTACACCTTCAAGAGGAATACTTTGATATCGTCAAGGTCAGTGCATTTTGTTAATAAAAAACAATAACATTTTTTATCTGTCTTTTATTTCTGATTAAATTGTGAGACAAGTAAGACGACATTCATTCAATAATGTGGACCATGTTACCAAAGCATGGTGTAAGACCCTGTTTAGACATGCAGCAGGAACGTTTGAGCTATGAAAGATATTCAGAAATTTATTTTTCGCCAAATGAATCATTGCACGACTTAAAAACGTGAATTCATGAAGTTAAAATCTAGAGCAATAACATATTGTTTGCCTGTGTTTTAATTCCGTCTGAATTGTGAAAAAAATTAGGCGACCTTTATTTATGGGGATCATTTCAAGATGCATAGAAACCACAGGATATATTTAGTAATTACTGCATTTTTACCGTAATTAACATTTCTTTAAACATTCACATAGATATTTAAGATATCAGATAATAAAGTTATCCTAAAGAAATCGCTTCCTGTTTTTTGAAATTCGCCGATGAAAAAATTCTTATTACTTTGAGAAGGTCCCACAAGTTTAAGGTCCAAATTAATGATTTGAGCCGTGTCATGACAAAAATAACATAGTGCGTTTGCGACCAGCATGGATCCAGACAAGCCTGCGCATCCGCGCACTCTGATCAGGATCCATGCTGTTCGCTGTCAGTTTCTCCACTTGTAATAGAGTTGATAAGCGAACAGCATGGATCCTGATCAGACTGCACGGATGCGCAGACTGGTCTGGATCCATGCTGGTCGCAAACCAATTATGTTGGTTTTGTCATGACGCGGCTCATTTAAGTTAGGTAAAATTAATCGACGACTTCTTTTATTATTCATTCTACCCGTACTTTGTCAACCGAATTGACAACCTTGTGGTAAATACATGATAAAATCTAAAATCTAGAGCAATAACATATTGTTTGTCTGTGTTTTATTTTCGTTTAAATTGTGAAAAAATAGGCGACCTACAATTATGGGGACCATTTCAAGATGCATAGAAACCACAGCATATATCTAGTAATTACTGCATTTTTCACCGTAATTAAAATTTCCTTATACATCCACATAGATATTTAAGATATTAGATAATAAAGTAAGCCTAAAAAATCGCTTCCTGTTTTGAAATTCGCCGACGAAAAAGATCTAATTAACTTTGAGAAGGTCCCACGAGTTTAAGGTCTAAATTAATGATTTAAAGTTAGGTGAAATTAAACACCGACCTCTTTTATATTCATACTACGCGTACTTTGTCAACCAAATTGACTTCCTCTTCCTCGTGGTAAATACATGTATGTATGGCGGTATAAGGTGATTTAAACAATTTAAATAACTAGTGCAGAAATCAGCATGCATTCTGTTTTGTTGTAATAGGGGATAAACATGTTCACATTATTTCAAAACACGTTACATGAAGGTGTAAAGCTTTGATATATTTAACTTCAATTGTGCATCCGCTTCCATATAAATAAACACATTATTTCTAAAATCTTGTTTAGAATTAAAAAAATACAAATAGTTATAGTAATATAAAACTATTATTTCTAAGGTGACAATTTTTTTTAAATAAAGGTACTCGATAAGATAAGATAAGATTATTAATGAAATGCTCATTACCATGCATTCAAAGCTGAAAGAATTAAAAATATTGTACATAGCTGCTAGACTCTTTGAATAATAATGTAATATAGTTAAGTAATTATAAGACAGCCATCGTTGATTTTAATTTAAACACTCAAAGCCTAATTATGACAAAATATGTATTTATCAACAGCAAATATATTAGAACTTTGAGTATTTGTATGGTTATGTCTTCCATATGAAAAACACACACTATTGATAATATTTTTTTGCAACTACATGTTCATGCATTTAGGTTTAAAATATTTAAACTAACCCTGCCCAAGACTAAGATATATGACATGCAGCTAAAGTGTTCTTAAAAAACCATTTAAAACATGTCCCGGATAAAAAAATAGCCACGACTCTCGGGTTATTACATTTATATAGACTTTCACAGGAAAGGCATTTAAATCTTCTGGAAAAATACACAATGCCTTGTCTTTATATGTTTGAAATGAAGTAGAGTTGCATTATGAAAGTGTACATAAATTACATAAGTTGTTACGCTGGCATCAGAACTAATCTTGTCCTAAGCGTCATTTACATTTTTTTAATTATATAATTATATAACAAGAAGTATCTTTAAATTATACTTCGCGAAGTAAACCTGGGTAACTTGTATGTGTTATTTCTAAGTTTTCAATACACATTTCTTTATAGAATAAACAATGGGGTTTAATCTTGAATATGGAACACTGTAAGAATGTCGCATGTATTCCAAAATGAATATGTCGTGTTTCAGTAAGTGAGATAATTGATCTCTTTTACCAACATCTACGCAGTCGGTAGACAATTATACTCAAGAATACCTGATAAATATGCAAAAAATATATGCACATTATAAACATTATACCATTTGAACACATCAATGTTCATATAATACTTTAGAAACTTGTTGAACACTATAAACTGAGGGTACCTTGGTGTGTTTTTCGATATTTTCGTGTGCATGAGTAAACTTACAAAATAATAAACATTATTGGTGACCTCGTTATTTTGAACAAAATTTATATCTCAGTAAGTTCTTATGTAAAATAACTAAGTAATTTCGTATGTAAAAAATCTGTTCTCTAGAAAATACAGTGGGGTCAGAACGCAGTGTAAAATACTTTGTAGGATAAAGTACATTTTAACAGAACTTAAATATCTCAGAAATTTAACTAGAAAGTTAAAGAACCATCCTGTTTATTTAATTTTAGAAATATCCTTTGCATTTTTATATTGGTTAAGATTATCCTTTACATTTTATTTTAAATCTATCCTTTAAATTTTATTTAAGAATAGAAAGAACTATTATTTTAGAATGGCCAATTAGATTCCCTGAATTTAGTTTGTAATTATCAATGATCAATGAAAATTCTTTTTACATTCAGTTTTCCCTGTAAATTTTACAGGAAGTCAAACTAATTTTTGATGACCTTCGGCTAAACACATATTAAAATTTTCATGAGGTAATCGCCATACTAAGAGATTGGATAATTAACATGAAAAACGTTTGCTAAAGTTTTATATACCACATGTTCCTCGTGCCCAAAATAGCGCTAGCCTAGGGTAACTTCGGTAACATTCACTTGTAAAGTGAAAATGATATATCAGTGATTTTATCAATAACTGAACGGTCAAAGCTGAGCTGAGAGATTTCTTTATTTTAAAACATAGCCCTGTGTCAAAATAAACTCTACCTGAGAAAATACAGACTTATGTAAAAACAAATTCGTTGTGTAAAGCTACAGACCTTATAATTTTAGTAAATATTTAAGCGTTAAGCATTGACTGACCTTTCAGTACAAAACCATTATGAACTTTGTCCCAAATTAAAAAAATAACCCCGGGTTTTGGAAATGAGGGTCACCTTATCTATTCAGACTTTTTAGTAATTGTGTCCTTAAATTACCATTACACAATGCATGTTAGGTTTATTTGTATATAATAGTACATAAAACGGGTCAAAGGCAGAAATGGCCGGGTTGCATTTTATACCAAATATCACGAGGCCGTAGTTATGAAATTTTATTACAATTCACCATCAATGTAGAAAAATTAATTAAGTTGGTAAACAGGAAGTGGATGAACGACATACCTGAAATCGAATACCACAATATGGGACCACATGTTGATGCTGTATACCAAATATCAAGAGGCTGTGATAACTAGTTGCTGAGAAACTGTCTCGAAAATTTCCTACCATTGCCCGTCAATGTCGAACATTTGACTAACTCAGTAAACAAGAAATGGACGAGCGACAGACCTGAAATCGTATCCCAAGGTATGAGACCACATGTTAGTGATGTATGCCAAAAATAAAGAGGCTGTGATAAGATTTTGCTTGAAAACTGTTACGAAAATTTCCTAACATTGACCATTAATGTAGAATATTTTACTAAGTCAGTAAACAGGAAGTGGATGAGCGACATACAGTGAAATTGAATCCCACGGTATGGGATAACATGTTAATGCAGTATGCCAAATAGCAAGAGGCTGTAATAAATGATTGGTGAGATATCAAGAGGCTGTAATAAATGATTGGTGAGAAAACTGTTACGAAAATTTGCCCGCCCGCCCCCAACATTTACCTGTGCAACCCGGCCAACAATTATTATTTTTTCAGTTGCGTGGTTGGTAGTTGTTTCATTGATCACCGTTAAGCCACGTGTCAACTTTTGTTTGTACCGTCAGAAAACCCATTTTGTGCATGTGCAACCATTTAAATGTAGAACTATACTTTATTGGTAATCTCGTTAACAAAAATTGTTGCGTATAGAATAGTCCTAAGTACATAAAAATAAATTTATACGTTTTAATGTGGGATCTCTTAACCAAATTCTGTTTTTGTCTTATTTTTTATCTGATAAAGCTATAATATATTGATTGCTCTTTTCTTCTTTTACTGGTAATATGGTGTAGACAAGAAAGTAAGATTTTAAACCTGTTTATGATGCTATCTGGCTTTTCAAATTTACATTCTCTTTGTTCTTATTATTTTTAAGTCTTATCTGCTTACGTTACAGACGTTTCCGTATTTTGTAAAAAATAAGAATTTGACAACTATAATTTTAATTTATACTTTTACTATATCAAACATTTACCATTCATTAGCAGTTGAAATTTTATTTTGTCCAATTAGATCGTTCCCTTTTTTCAAATAATGTGGTAAATTTAGTCTACGATCTTAAAATATCATAACAATGAGCAAACTTTAAAAAATGACTGATACTATATTACTCGAAAATGAATTCACTCTTCCGCTTAAAATGATTTTGTTGCCAAGCTACATTGGTATATGTGACATCAAATCTATACCTTTGTATCCATCTCTAGCAATTATTTTGAATCGATAGGAGACTTCCAAAATTTATAAAATTTTATGCCAAATGTATGTCAAGGTAAAATATTTTGACAATTTTTTTTTACTTAACGATTGTCTTGTTCAGGTCATATAAACATACAGATACAACTTATTCTTGAAAATTTGAAAATATATAAATATGCATTTTCAAAAACTTCTTAACTATCTCTTTACTTAAATGCATGAAAAGCACTATTACATTAAAACATCACTAAGCCTGTCTGTGTTTCATCTCTCTGAGTTTAGAAAGTTTAACAAATAAAAAGTAATAACCGTCACTAGATAGTATCAACCAATTTTAGTTAACATTCACATCAATTAATTGACACATAAGTTAAAGGAATTACTTCCAGTTTAAGAATTTGGAGGCGGAATAATTCATATTTATATTGAGATGATCGCTAAGATAAGTATACATATTTTTATGAATAAAGTTAGGCGAAATGAATTACCAACTGACCCTATTTTCAGACTACACATGCTAATGTCCTTCACCGTTTCTTCAGTATAAATTTCACAAATCTTTACAAATTTTCAACAAATCTTTAAAGTCTATTTTTGTCGTTTCGTAAAGATAACATTTTACGGTTATTTAAACTGTTATAAGGTGATTTAGTTTTTAAAAAGACATTGTTTTGAATAAAAAGACAAAGAGTACATTGATCTTTGCGATACTAGGATATTTTATTTCCAAACGCCCGCAATGAATTTCGAATTTTTATATTGTTCTTGTTTATTTAAAAACACACTTAATGATAAACTGTCGCGTTTTAACGTTAAATGAATACATTATCTTTTACATTCAATGGCTGATAAACAATTGTGTTTTATAATAATTATAAATATCATATCATGTTTATTGAATTTCAATTTTTTACAACGTGATCATTTATTTGCAGCTGTTTTCAAAAAAATGCATAAATCACCATAATGATATTCAAACTTTTGAAATCTATTACTAGTTCAATTCGACATGACAGCAAAAAAATCATAATAAGAAAAACAATCTTGACTAATATTTTCATTATCTTCATGTGTGTGTTTTATTTCCATTTGGATTTTTGGTTGATAATAAAATAAAATTAGTCGCATTTCAATCAAGTAAAGGGACTGTAAGCGATTTTGTATGTAGATATTTGCGTGATAATTCTCGTAATTTGTGGGAATAATTAAAAGAAGAAATAAGTACTAGATTTGGGGAAATTAAAGATTTACAACATGAATTTTATCCTTTGAGAAATTTAAAACAAGATTTGGGAGAAAGTGTTCAAATTTTTGGTAAAAAAATTATTGATTGTGCTGCAACCGCTTATGAAAATTATAAACTAGGAGATAACAGTTTAATTGAACTTCATTTAATTGAAATGTTTACGGATAGTTTAGCGCATAATTATTTAAAACTTAAACTTTAGAGAAAAGCCAAAAACTAAACAAGCTGCAATTATTTGCGCAATGAATGAACAGAATTTCAGGGCTAGATTTCCTGCCAGAGTAGGAACATTTAATAATTCTCAAAATCACGCATGATACAATAATTACAGAGCAAATAATTTTAATCATTATTATACAAGAAATACTTGCCTTTACTGAACATGCTGAAAGAGGCCAGGTCATCATGTGCGTAATTGTAGATTTAGGAAAAATGAAATATATTCTGTATTTCACCGACAAAATTTTTCACGATTTAAGAAAAAATAATTGCAATAATAATTTGAAATCAAAGATTAAGTGCTGGAATGTTATATTTTTTTGACATTTTATGCGAGAATGCAGTAAACCAAATTTTTACGACAGAAACAAAATAAAATTTCAGGAAAACTAGCAAGTTCCTGTCACAAAGGGGTCTCTGACAGGAACGATCAAATACCAAAATTTAGTATAGCATTGGCGGGTAGTCCTAATTCATGTCTGATAAAAATTGAAAACTATCAATACAGATCGTTAGTAGATTCAGGTGATCTGCATCGCAGAATATATAGAAAATTGAACAATCCTCCTGAACTTATAAAACAGAAAATAAATTTGTGTTCAGTTGACGGAAATTACTTACATATAGATGGTTTTATAAATCTCACTTTTCAAATAGGGAAAACAGAAACAACTCAAAAATTCTATGTTGTTTCTAAAATGAATAGAAATATTTCTTTAAGCCGTGATTGGTTAACACAAAATGGCATTAGATTATATTTTGATTTAGGCTGCTTAAGAATTAATAATACATATGTACCCCTCGAAGAAGATATTCATATCGCATCAATTGTTAGATTAAAGCAGGCTGTTATTCTTAAACCTCAAACAGTTAATGTGTGCACTGCTAAGTTAAAAAACAAACTCCAGGCTTGGAAAATGATAAATTATATGAATTAAAAAGTATAGAAACTGGAATGATTGCTTCTGAACCAGGTCTTATGATAACAAATTCTGTTATGAAACTTTCGGCTGATAGAAGATTTCCTATTATGATTGTCAATAATACGCATAAAACTATAAGACTTAAACGAGATGCAGTAGTTGCTAAGGTATCAGAAGTTGAGAGCATTAACTCGGTCACAGAGAGGCTCTTCAAACAACTTCCTCTCTAAACAACGATTTCAAACGTGATTTTCATACACATTCAGAGCATTTTAATATTGTTAGAGACTTAATAAGGAAAAATAGAAATATTTTCGCAAATAAAGATTCTGAATTAACTCAAACAGATACTGTAACCATGAAAATACCAACTTGTAATCACCCTCCAATCAAATTACGTCCATACCGCCCACATTTAAACAATAACAAAATTAGTTAGTGACGCAATCGATGAGATGTTAGAAGCAAATATTATAAGAAGAAGTCATAGCCTGTGGTTGTGGTCGGAAAACGTGATGGCAGTAAACGGTTTTGTGTTGATTTTAGACAATTGAATACAATTACAAAGCCAACATCATACCCTACCCCTTATTGATGATATTTTAACACTACTCGGGTCTTCAAAATGTTTTACAACACTAGATATGCGATCAGGATTTTGGCAGATACCCGTACATGAATCAGACAAAGAGAAAACAGCTTTTTTCCGAGGGCTGTTCGAATTCAACCGAACTCCTTTTGGTTTAGTTTCTGCACCTGGACATTTCAGGAACTCATGTCACATGTCTTACAAGGTTTAAAAGCATTTGCTGTCAGTTATCTTGACGATATTTTCGAAGTCATTAAGTGAACATCTATCACATATACAGACAGTATTTTCAAAGCTTAAATATCATAAATTAAAACTTAAACTGAAAAAATGCAGTTTTATTCAGCCACAAACAAAGTACCTTGGTTTTATTATTGATTATAAAGGTATAAAACCAGACCCAGAAAAAGTAAAAGCTATTAGGTCACTTCCTGTACCAAAATGTGTTAAATATGTCAGATCTTTACTTGGTGCTGCTGGTTTTTATAGAAGGTTTTTCCCTTAATATTCTAAAATTGTTGAACCTCTAATTAATCTTACTAGAAAACGTGTTTTGTTTAAATGGACAAAAGATTGTTAAGAAAGTTTTGAACAATTAAAGGAAATGTTAACACGTACCGGGTATTCCACATTTAGCAACCCCAGACCCAAATAAGCCTTATATTCTATACACGGACTCCTCAGATTTAGTGATCGAAGCATGTTTAAGTCAGAAATGTGACAAATCTAGTATTGAAAAACCTATATACTTCTTATCTCTTAAATAAAGTGAATCTCAAAGAAAGTACAGTACCATAGAGAAAGAAGAATTCAGTATTCATTGTGCATTACAAAAATTAGATGTTTATTTACATAATGCAGAGTTTACTATATTAACAGACCATAAACCTTAAAAGTATCTTCGAGAAGCACCTAAACAAAACAAAAGAATACAGCTTTGGGCCATAAATATTTCTGCATATAACTGCAAAATTGAATATTTGCCCGGAAAATTAAATTTAATCGCCGATTTCTTTTCTAGACCTCCAGCTGATGATAAAAATGCTAATAAGTCTGATATTAAACTTTACGAGCCTGATATTAATGACAATGCCTTCGAAATAACAGTCTCAAAATCAAATGATAATTCAAGTTATGATAATGGACATGCTGCGAAACTGAAGAAAGATATGAAGTAAATGTTTTTGATTCTACACATCTTAATGCTAAACAAATAGCAAACAAAGAATATCAAATTCAAGAGCCAATTGTAGAAGATATTAAACATTTAGAAAAATTAAATATGGCTTTGGAGCAAGATAAAGATCAAACTATTCTTGAACTGAAAATGTTACTACGTCACGGACAGCCAACTAAATCAGTGCAGAGCAAATATTTAGAAATTGACCACTCTTTATTATCTTTCTAATGTAGATGATAATCCTAATCTTAGATTGTTTGTTCCGCAACACTTAAAACACCTTGTCATTACTCAATATCATTTAAATAATGGTCACCTAGGAAGACAAAGGTTATTTACAACAATAAAACAGAAATATTTTTGGCCAAATATGTTCAAAGAATTATATGAATATGTTTCTAAATGTGTTGATTATCAGTCAGGTAATCTCACAAAAATAAAAGCACCTATGGGCGAGACAAAAATACCCATGTACCCATTCGCTACGATGAGTATCGACTGCTTAGGTTCTTATGAACAAACAATGAGTGGTAACCGATACATTATATGTTTTATTGACCTTTACAGTGTTTATCCCGAGTGTTTTCCTACATTTTGACAGAAAGTATGGATCATAGCTTAATACATTAACTATTAAAAGGAATTTACCGCTAGCGTTATGATGTCACTTACAAAATTGTCATGGACATGGATTCAAATTTACTAAGTAATGGCTTCAAACAAACACTTTTTTAGTTAAATTGATCAACGTGGTTACTACCTATAGTGCTATCGGACGCGAAAAAGTGAACGTTCACGACATAGTTATAACTGATTTCTTAGATAAAAGAATGCCAGGAAATCTACAATAGGAAATATTATCTTAAACAGAGAACTAAGGGCCTGTGATTTAATGTCTCTAGAACTCAAATATAGTCCATTTTAATTTATTATATAGCCGTGCCCCACACTCCAATGGTCGACCTGTTGCTCTACAGACGCAAGGCAAGCGTTACCCATGGTGAAGAAATATCACAACAAAAATGCTTACAAGAACACAATAATACTTTTCTGTTTAGTATATAAGAACTTTAAAAAAGCGCAACGCGACCCAAGCTAGTCATGTCAGATAAACTCACAAAAATATAAATTTTAGATAGTGATGCTGTAATTGTTATAACAGAATTTTCGTAAATAGGTAAATTAGATGTAAATTGGAAGCCATTTTATAGAATTATGGGAGAAAGGTCACCATTAATTCATAATAAACAAATGCAGCTATGACAATTTCAAAGTTATAGGTACACGAGACAAATAAGGGTTTGCAAATATACTGACTGCCTATACTAAAGCAAGAATAATAATGCCAGACCAAGAATGACACATTTTTAGTTACATCTGAAAATAGCGATACTGATGATGCTTCAGAAATACAAGAATCAGTATTACCCTAAGTTGCTAAGAATGTAAGAAAAGATAGGTCAAATTCTGATAGTGAAGATGATATTCCATTAGCCTAATTACAGAAACATTTTCGACATCAACAACAAATTTCAATTAATGACAATGCTCAAAGTAATGCACATTGAGAAGAAATGCAATCGCAGACTGATTCAGAAATATCAGACTGAAATTCCAAACAAGTAAATAGCAATCCTCAGTCACAAGCAGCATATAATGCTATTCAGTCAGACTCTATGGCAGATTATAATGATTCAGATATCGAAATGTTTTTAAACTCTATTTCGATTAAGTTGCGATATAAAGTGTCTGGTAAAGTAAAGACAAAGGTACATAGTAAAGATAAAGGGTCAAAACCAAGTGTTAAAATGATTTTACAAGAATTAGCTGAATTGTTATAGAACGTTATATTCCGTGTTATATGCTATACTAGTTTTCGGTAAATTGAGTTTCAAATTGATTATGTACTTTATCTTTGACTATCATGTGTATATATACATGTATACATAAACTGTCAAGCCCACAACAAATATATAATGTTTTTAATGGGATAAGTCTTATTGTTGAAATATAACAAAAGTTAAGAGCTTAGTTAAAAATATGTTTAAAATTCAATATGAAAAGTAAAATTGTTAAATAACAAGTATTACATTAAAGATAAGATACTTACAGAGAACATCTTTCGTTGGAATTCTTATCCTTTATATTCTTATGACAGTTGTTACTCATATATCTGAAACAAAATTATGTATATTGTAAATAATATATATTTACCGATCTGATAACCGACGAAAACGCAAAATGATTGGTCTTACGATCACTTGTCCTCCAACCAAGACAGGGAGGTGCGAGCGAACTCGCTGGTACAGTAAAACACCACTTGATTAGACACTATTTCAGTCATCCTCTACGATGTCAAACCATGTACATATAACCATTAACACACACCTTCTTCGATGTAAAACTATGTACATATAACCATGAACACACCTTCTTCGATGTAAAACCATGTGAAATAAGCGTCTACGATGTTTAAATGTATAGCCGTCAACGTCAACAACAACAAACTGGTAGAACCAAATGAACTTTTGTTCCTGTCTTCAACCAAAGAAGCCGAAAATCTTCGTTTATCAATAGAATGTGTTTTTCTATGTGTTATATAAACTTTTAAAACAGAGAAATACTTATGACAACTTCTTATGTAAAGCAGTTATTTGTGCGACGCTATGAGAAAAAGATATTTAAAATAAATATCACATGAACATTTTGAGAATTGTGCAACAGCAGACAAATTATTTTTTTTTACTCAAAAACATTGCTACATAAATGAAGAAGTATATTTCTATAATCACTTCGCCGTATTCTTAAATTAAAGACAATTTCTTTTACAACGACAAAACAACAAGAAAAGAGTTTACAGATGTGCCGTTAAATAGTCGAATATAACTTTATCATATTATGTATATAAAGTTTACGTTTACATATATATCAATTTAGAAGAATCTTCAAGGATTTAAAACATTTATGAACAATTATGGATTTTAATTTAAACTAAAATGTACATACCGCCTTCGACGATTTAAAATTTCCTCACCAACCACAACAGTCTACACGTCAAACAGGAAGTGTTCAATGCGCATGCACGAGATTTTAAACGAGTACCAGCCAAGCACAGCTAGTACCTGAAAAATAGCCGAGCCACGTCAACCAGGAAGTGTTCAATTCGCATGCACTAGAATAGACAGTAAACGTTTTAAACAGGAAATGAAAACGTTGAATGCGTTCCAGAATAAAAAAGGAAATTCCAGATGTCCTTTTTCCGAGGGTCGACCTACAGGCGCTTTTTCAGCAACACATTTACATGCAGAGAGAGATATATAGTAGATAGCTGACATCGGGGAATAATTCCCCTATCTTTTAAACCTCAGACGAAACGCATTGTACCTGTCCGTTCGTCGAATATATGATACGCCACTATCATTTTAAATGGGTTTTAAATGGGTTTATCTTATGAATGGTTGTTCGGAGTTATTTGATGAAAACTCACAAAAGAAATCTCGGTCAATATTACAGTCATGTACGCAGATTACAAAATATTTTAATTGTAGACGTTCAATATTTTTTAATATGAAATAGTAGTTAAAAAAGTAACACAAATATCTGATCATTTGTAGATTCGTGTTTTGTTACTTTTGTTTGAGAATATATTGTAGAGAAAGAAAAAATACATCCAATACTAATGTGCATACATAAAAAATAATGGGCTATATAACATATAGCATTTATCTGTAAATTATTCATCTTACTGTTAATATCACATAAAATAACCGTGCACGTTG